TCTCTCTCTCTCTCTCTCTCTCTCTCTCTCTCTCTCTCTCTCTCTCTCTCTCTCTCTCTCTGTGTCTATCTATCTATCTATCTATCTATCTATCTCTGTTGCATACTATTGAATATTTCACCAAGTATGGGCAGAACCAAAGATGAACCAATATAGGACACTGGTCGAAGTTAGTGTTTACGTGATTTTTAGGAAAACTTTCGCGCCGGTAGCGCCGAACCGCCGCGGGGCGCAACCGCGGGGAACCAGCGCGGCCTGTGGGAGCACGCGGACGCCGACTGACTGAGGCAGAGGACCGGGGGCGAAGTGGCGACCCGGCGCCATCGCCAAGTTGCGTGGAGAGCGTGCAGCTGCGGGAGCCGATCTGAGCAAGTGATGCACGCACGTGAGCGCGAGGTAGGCCTGAGTGGCGCGCAGAGGCAGCACTTGCATACGGACCAGGGCGTGAAAACGTGCGACGGGGACTGCTCTTCGAAACAAGGTGGCAGTGTTTGCATACGGACCTGGGTGCGGAAACGAGCGACGACGACGAGTGTCACGGGCTGTTGACGAACGAGATCAGGGCTTCACGAAGTTGAAAGGTGAGTACGTTCCAGGGTTGCTTTCCCACCTCGTGAAAGGATTAAGTGAGGGGAGGGGGAGTGGGGAGGAGTTTTGTGCGGGTGATTGAGAAAGAAAAACAAGGCAAGGGGGATTCGGAGGAGCCCCTGAAGAGGCGAGGATTACAGGGGAGTGGAGGGGACGCTCGCCCACAGACAAGGGGGGAGGGGGCGCTCGCACACGGCTGGGAGGAAGGGGAATGCAAGGGGCGGATTCTGATCAGCGAGGGTGAAGGCAAGAGCCGGGGAGACACGGCACGGGGCACGGACCAGGGCGGGAAAACGTGCGACGGGACTGATCCTCGAACAAGGTGGCAGCGCTTGCATACGGACCTGGGTGTGGAAACGAGCGACGACGATTGATCTACGGCAAAGTGCCCTGCGGGGCGAGTGTCATGGGTTGTTGACGAAAGAGGTCAGGGTCTCACGAAGTTGTATGGTGAGTACTCTCCAGGGTATTTTCCCCACCTCGTGAAAGGATTAAGTGAGGGGAGGGGATTGGGGAGGATTTTTGCGCGGGCGATCGAGAAAGAAAAAACAAGGAAAGGGGGATTGGGAGGAGCCCTGAAGAGGCGACGATTACAGGGGAGTGGAGGGGACACTCGTCCACAGATAAGGGGGGAGGGGGCGCTCAAAGACAAGGGGGGAGGAATGCAAGGGGCAGGTTCTGATCAACGAGTGTGAAGGCAAGAGCCCGGGAAATACGGCAAGGAGCGGTGGACGAGGGTGAAGGCAAGGGCCGGGGAAATACGGCGAGAAAGAAAGAGTAATAAGAACAAAAAAAAGGGGCGGCGACGGAAAATTAAAAAAAAAAAAAAAAATCGTTGAAGGCAAGAGCCGGGGAAATACGGCACGGGGCGGTTGTAGGTCGGAATAAGAAATCAGGGTGGAGGCAAGGGCCGGGGAAATACGGCACGAAAGGGGAGAGTGCACCGGAGGAAGGTGAAAGGTGAGAAGTCGAGGGAGACACGGCCCTCGGCGGAGGGGGGGTGAGTGCAGGCGGAGGGTGAGACGAGTAATCAAGGCGAAGGGAAGGGAGTAGAGGGTGGGTGAGCCCTGGGGGAGGTTGAGGTTAGTAACCAAGGCGAAAGGAAGGAATAGATGGGGGGGAGGGCCACCAATCAAGGGGAAAGGCT